ATAGTCAAATAATGACCATGTAGTGTGCCCGATTGCACGGTGAAAGTCGGACAGTAACAGATATTTGCTGGATACCATTTTTCTTCCATAATCTAAACGTATGTTCACATTTTTACTTCAGTACCAAAGCTATGTGACGTTTGTTTTACACGATCGCTAGTAGCTGTATCCTTTTGCGAGAGAACTTTCACTTTTTGCCTTTCGATCCATTTTGCACGCTATCGCACCCGTTGGTTTTCGCTACCTTCGTGCTGTAACGTAAATTCTTGTTGGCAGGTACCGGTACCGTTCCCTGTTCCACGGTACCTCAATACACGTCTACAACCACCACAAGGTTTCTGATTTAACCAGCGGTAACTTGGTTGTTTGCGAGCCCTGGGTCCCCTTCTGAAGTTCGTCACGACGGGCCGTAGTCAACGTTCTTCAACCATAACCGAGACACAAAGTTGGGGCCGTATTCGTAAGAGTCATGAGATATTGTGCAACTACCGAAAAGCTCATTTATTGGTTATTAATAACAATAATAATAATAATAAAAATAACAATCTCTCCTTCTTTTGATCTCAAATTTTCAAAATCATGCAACTACTGACTTTCAAATGCAATTTCCCGACGCAATCTCCCAGTCTCTCTTTAGAACCCATCTCAGTTTCTGAATGTTTAAAACAATTTTCTGTATTATTCTTTTACCCTTGAAGTTTAAAATATTTTCCACCAGTCAGATCTGGAAAGTAGATTGACGAAGGTAAAATAAGGATTCCTGCACAATCCTGGAATGCTGCGACCCGGTGTTAGAGGATACGTGATCTAAGACTGTATAGCTGAGGGGTATGCGCAGAAGCCAGCCAAAATAATATATCCAATCAGAAAAGCCGTTCCACCGCTTCAGTAGTCTTTCTTTGTTGGTGGCACCGTATTCAGTTTGATAGTGATCACCCTTATCAGTACTGTGAATCCAGGATCTCACAGAGTTCATATGCATAATACAAGTTCACTACCACAACGAACCCGCGCCGGTCACGCATACGTGCAATCTGATAGCTTCTTGTGGCCGGAGGGCTGAATTCAGTGCAGACTCTAATCGCCGGTGGATCGATATTCTTTATTGATAACATTGATTTGTGGCTCCACATGGAATTACCCCTCAATCCCCCCATAGCAAGGGATCGAAAAAGCAGTTGCCACACAGCCCAACGATTTCGCTGAAGAAGCTTAAGCCTAAATTGGGAGATGGGGTAATTCTACAAATGTGATGAATTTCAAGGAATAAAGACCAATCAAGAGCACTAGACATCTGTTTCGTCCTTCGTGGGATTCGTCAGCTGCATCAATTATGTTTATGTGCACACCAGGGCTTACAATGCGTAGGTTCCGTTTGTAAGCTGAAACCCTTACGCATGAGCCCCAGAACTACGAGGCTGTCTTTTCTGTGTGTGTGTGTGTGTGTGTGTGTGTGTATGCGTGCGTGCGTATACGTGCGTGCAGAAGATTCAGGACCATGGATCGTTACCGTTTTACATAGTGTCACGCTGACAACCCTTTGTCAGTGCTTTGCGACATTGGTGATCGCCCATCGGGTTGGATAGAAACTACAGAGAAACCGTGAGCAAATCAAACATTAACACAAAACACAATGTAGAACATTCATCTGGACCAAGCCGATAAATCAACCTCCCTGTGTTTTAATTCTTGTGATGTTTGAAGATTCTGAACAAGTATGATGACACCGGACAAAAGAAGAGGTCATAATTGCACGCAATGGGACAAGGGAATAAAGCTGGACGAGGATTTTCAATACCCAATGACTTACCTTGATCGGATGACTGCCTTGAAGTAGAATCTCACTGGTATCCAAAAGATGAACTTTGGCATCTGCATAAGTGTATTCACAATGTTCTGTAGGCACATTGTTATTCTCGATTTCGAGAGAATTCCAGTACCAAATGGTTCCGGTTCGTGAAATACACCCCTGAAAAGAAGCAACAAAATAAATTTAATATGACAATAAATATCATTTTTTCACACGATGAGGATTCCTGCAAAACTACTGAATGTAGCGATAAGTAGGAAAGTCTGTCTGTCTGTCTGTCTGTCTGTCTGTCTGTCTGTCTGTCTGTCTGTCTGTATGTATGTATGTATGTATGCATGTATGCATGTATGTATGTATGTATGTATGTATGTATGTATGTATGTATGTATGTATGTATGCATGTATGTATGTATGTATGTATGTATGTATGTATGTATGTATGTATGTATGTATGTGTGTATGTATGTATGTATGCATGCGTACATCCATTAATCCACGAATACACGCCCGCGAATACACATATGGCAGTCAAAATAATGCAATATAAGTAGATCAATTGAATTTCACCGTCTTACAGAAAGATGGAAGCGTGTGGAAATCGACTCGGCTCGGACACCGTCGGGCAGCGGCACCTCATATAGCTCCTTCCCCGTTGCATGGCTCAAAAACGTGGAGGAAATAAAACCGTAGTGTGTGTGTTGATGTGGCAGAATTCCGGAATTTCGACAAGTTCGATCACACCACGTTAAGACAGTACCCTTGATGGAATAAAGAAATGTGTTCAGAATAAAAGATAGCTTATTAATAATACATAAGAGAAATTGCTTCAAACTCATTTATTGGAATATAAACCTATTATTTAATCACAGATGACTGGCATTCTTCATTTTTGAGGACCTAATCAACTTTAGCCTCCTGAAGACGTTAAATTCACATCAAATTACGATCAGCCGGTTCAGGTTACAAAAATATGATTGACAGCTGTAGATGCCCAGTCTAAGTAGTGGAACATAAACGCTGACCTCAAGGTCCGATAGGTGAAACAAGCACCTAGTCGACAATCCATTAACTAGCTAGTGAAACTCTACAGTAGATTTCGTGATGCTTTCAGTGAGTTCGTTCTTATGGGACTACCTACGGAAGGGTTATATGGTCAATCATCTTTTACGTGACCAAAGATATGGCACTCCGATTTCTCCACAATTTATCCAGAAATTGTTCGTTCAAACTTCAAAACCAGGTGGCGGCCAGACGCGAAGAATCGCTTAACTCTAGCGACACCGAGGACTCAACTGAGACAGAATAGAGACCTCATGCTAGGTGCCTAGTTTGACTCGATCTAAATTAGCTCAAAAAGTACAAACCATTAGATTAATATTGCACTGACCACTTAATGGGGCGGGGCCTTTGAAATTGGCTGTGTCATTTTTTTATCGCTGGAGCTTTGGTTTTTTCATCACACACAACCTCTGGATATGATTTTGTATCAATTACGGTAACCTCAATGATAATTCACAACGCGCTCAGTTTAATTTCCGTACTAGGATCCGTGGAATATATCAACAAACCGTCCTTAGATGCTTTTTCAGTTTTGTGAGAAATAATGTTAAAAGGATCACCAGAAATTCACATGGCAAACGGAAAAAGCATCATGCTGGCTGGAAAGTTGCACTTAAGTACCGAAACCTGAGGAGCAGTGGTTTTCCGATAATTTTGTCGTCCAATGTATGCTCAATTCTTTCTGAGCTATCGGACACCAGTCTTCTGATTCACTACGGAGAGTACTTCAAAAGTTGTGTGCTACTTTTCCAAGAATCTTGGCTACAAGAATCTGTCGAGGACGAATTGGTTCAGATTGAAGGCTTCCAATTATTTGGAGCAGACAGACTCCCAGTAAAGAAAACTAAAGGTGGAGGCGTCATCACTTATGTGCGTCGGTTGTGGTGCAACTCCACCAAATGCATATTCACTCACTGCACACAAAACATTTCTTGTATTTCTGTAGTGTGCATTCCACGTATTCTCCTGCGTCACTCTTCGATCATCTGTTCAGGCCTATACATCACTCCTGACTGCACTCCTAGTGGGTTGTCTACCTTCCTGGATGTATTCTATCCAATCACGTCGGAGAAATCTGTCACATCTGTGTTCATCGTTGATGGCGATTTCAACAGATCTGATGTGAGTTTTTACACACTTATGTCCCTTCAGAACATTGTTACTTTTCCACTGGAAATGATGCCTCCTTGGGCCACTTTTTCGTTAACGAACCATCTTTTTTCTGTGCGCTCAAACGTGCACCAGTAGCCAATTCCGATCACTGTCTCATTAAAGTTTTACCTACAATATATAGTAAATGCAAGCAACAAAGCCTGATGAAGAACGATACATGTAAGATACATTTACGACAAAATCACTTGACTAATTTGATAGAATTAAAATCCATGGTTACGAAGGCTGAAAGAAAGGGTGTATCGCTCGAGAGATGAACTGACGGTCAAATCTGTCAACTTTCGCATCAGAAGTGAGATAGCCCATCTCAATCAATTGCACGCTGGCACCTTGCTAGGAGACAAATCCTGCCGTCAGCTATGAAACGGACGACAGTTGTTCTGTAGTCGTTCAACTTTACCTACAACAGTCTCATATGATATCAGTGAGCTCAACGAATCTTTTGCTTCAGTGAAAAACATTGTGCAAGATTTACTGAGTCCAAACACAACGTCACTTGATTTCCACCTTTTTGTGTTTATCACAACAGGGCAAATTTTAAAGGAGTTAAATGCTGTCAATGGAAATAAATCCGCTGGTCCTGATGGGTTATCCCCAGTGGTCCTTAAAACATGTGCAAACCACCTTGCACAAACCGTTTCATTTATGTTTGATACATGTCTGTCAGAAGGAAGATTACTTAACACCTGGCGTGATGTGCGCATCACTCCAGTACCTAAGAAAGAAACGGGTAAGCTTCGGCCTATTGCTTCATCTTCAGTACTACTTAAGACTTTTGAGCGTATTATTATTAAGCACCTATCCTCTAATCTTGAGTTTTGTGATTCCAATCAGTTTGCTTATTGTAAGCGTCGCTCTGCTTTAGATGCAGTTGCTTGTCTTATACATTCTGTTTTATCCACTACAGACCAAAAACACAAAATTGTTCACGGTTGTTTCTTGGACTACACAAACGCGTTAAACTCTGTCGACAGAAACATCCTATTGACACTGTTACGCCGAAATGATTCCCCGCCACATCTTTTGAATTGGATGCACGACTATTTTACCGACAAAAGCCACTTCACTTGTCTCAATGGTATTAGGTCTTTCACTGTTACTATAAACCAGGGTGTAATGCAGGATGCAATCTTATCCCCTTTGATGTTCTCCTTTTACATCCTAAATTTACCGGTCACACCAAATGTTTTCACTTTTAAATATGCCGATGACATAGTATTTGGCGATGCATCTCACAACAACAACCCTTCAACTAACCCCCTTCAATTAGCCATAAGTTCCATTTCTGAATGGTCGGATGGTGTTAACCTTTATTTAAACCCAAAAAAATTCACTAAAGTTTTGTTTTCCATTGACCGTAGGCCATTAACTCTTTCTGGATCATCTGTTCCCAATATCTAGGTCAATAAATAAAAAATGAAAGATCAAAACATTTCAACTATCTTGGATGTTTCGTGTCTGCTGACCTCAAATTGTCCTAGCACGTAGAACAAACATTTCTTAAAGCCAGAAAATTGACCTTTTATATTTCACGCCTTCGGCATCTGAGAGGGGCCATTGTACATTATCTCCAAATTTATTTTTTCATGCGTTTTATGCTATTGGATCTAATGCTCTCCTGTCATCTTGTCCGGTCTAATGTCTAAGGATTTCATAGTAATTAGACGCTCTCTGAAAAGCATCTCTCGATATGGAGCTGTATCTTATGAGGAGTTGGTTGATTCCATTATCACCAACCAAAACCTGAATGCGTGTGATCGTGTGTGTGACTATTTTGTCCGATGCATCACATCCTTTACACCCAGCCCTATCTAGCTCTATTTCAACTTCTGTCACCCGCAATGAATATCGATCTTTATATACGGACATCACTGCTTTTCACAACTTCGTTGTAGCTTACCTTTCACGTTTGTTGGTTTCCAGGCAACTAATATCAAACGAACTTATACACAATCTAATGTAAATTTTCACCTTGAAATTTTCTTTATTTTTCATGCGTTCGCAGTAACTATTTGTCATATCTTTAAGCACATTTTTAATAGTGCGCATGCCAAAGCAAAAGTGATAACATTCTTTTCACTGAAAATTCTGTTCACATTGGATGAATTAAGTACACTTTTGACTTGACTTGTCCAAAGAATCTTTTTCGCCAAATGGATTTCGATCGGAATCTGAGAATTCAATCAGGTAGCTAAAGGAAAATGAGTATCATACTTGCATTCAAGTTCGCTTTTTAGACAAGCGTATTTCTTCATATAGCCAAAACACATGCAGCAAGCAGCATGTCGTAATGATGCGCAAATGTTTGTACACGGAAAACCGCGAGAAGAACTATCAACCGAATGACGACGACCTGATTCACTTGGAATCCATTGTCGGAAAAAACTGAGGTTTAATAACATCATCGAGAAATTTCACTGTTTAAGCCTGGATGCTGATTTGTGTCGTAGATTACTTTGAAATAAAAACGGATTGGTAAGCTACATTGGAGAAAGTACACATCAGCGGAACTTGTGAGAATACGTAATAGAGCCTGGTCGGGATAAAATATCGTTCTAAAAGAATCACGAAATTTGTTTTCAATGTTCCCAAAAACTAATCCAAACTGTAAAATGGTTTGTTTAGAGGGTAAGTATGTATTACTCCTGCTTATCTTTGTAAGAAAATTTACGATAATTTTCTCAAATTTGTAGACAAGGCAAGATAAAAGACCGGGTATAGGAAGTAGTAAACTGCTTGAAGGATGAAATTGTGCCAAAGCAGTGCACCTAAATATGATAAAAACAATCACACCGAATTGATTTTTTTTTTTTTACCAATCCGTGCGGAGTTACCGACCGATTAACAGTAACTTAGAAATTTAGTTTTCTTTGTTTTTTACTCTCCTTTTAAAGTAAGTTCCGATGATCATTCTAAGCAAGATAAAA